TAATGATGATGATAAAATTTTTAGTAAAATTTATAGAAAAAATATCACTTCCTTGAGGGCAACGATCATGTTTTTCTTTGCTGAAATTCTCACAGCCTTATTTATCATAAAAGTTCCAAAAGATACTTGTTGCGTTTGTGATTGAATTCTGATAACAGTGGTATACACAGCTAGAAAAGTAAAACTCTTAAAAAAACAGAGGCATAATGCACTATTTATATGTAAGAAATGCTCTTTAAAACACTCTCATCTTACATATGCATAAGGATTACATCTCTTTTTATTTTTACTGTAAAGCAAATGATGACTGTATTCATCCTGTAATGATCCTTGGTGCATATGGAGCTCATCACCACCTGTCCTGGTGTTGAAGGTATTTGAAGAAAAGCTGATGCAGCCTGGTCCGCTCCCAGGACCAGCTCAGTGCCCAGTGCCCAGTGCCCAGTGACATCACACCTGCCTCCCATGTGAACAACGGCCAGGTGAACAGCATCTCTTCCTGATACTGAACACGCCTTCAGCTGTGCACCAAGCGTGCGTGCTCCACTGTGTGACTGTTTATTGGTAGAAATCATATGTGGCCCAGAATGAAGAGAGGCCCCAGGTGGGCCTGGAGGGAGCAGAGCCGGAAAATGTGAAAAATCAGGAAGTGACAATGACCAATATAAAATTCAGCATGTTCACTTTGGAGATACTCTTAAATATTCGAGATTTGGCTAAGCAAGGATCATTGAAATACCAACCAGTGTTTCATATACACAGCAAATGAAATGCCAACATTTTATATACATAAGACCCCACCAAAAAGTATACACAATAGTCAAATTCATGCAAGAATTGTCTGCGGACTAGCAGAGAATCAAAACGTTAAAAGGCTCTGTTTTCAAAGTAACTTGGTCCCTCTGCAAACATACACTTGATTTTTTAAAGTGTGAAATTTGTTTAACAACCACAGAAATTAATCAACAATGTAAGTAGATAATCAAAATAATGGATTTCACAACAAGTAAATATTAACTAGATTTTTCTAAACGCAAAAAATAAAAACTACCCTCCACCAGCACCACGGGTATTGCAGGTGGCATTCTGGTAGCCACACCTTCTGTGGTGGGCAGGGTACAATGGGCTGTGGACAGCCTTTGTGGGGAACTTTGTTCTTCTCTCTAGGAAACATTACTGTGAATGTTCAATTGCAGTGAAAAACAGCTGACCTTCCTTCCTCCTTCTGTGTCGCCTTCTCTATTCCTTTCTCTGTCTTCCATTTGTTTTCCTTCTTTACTTTTGAACTTTTAAAAACAGAGGTAGGCTGGTAGGATGTAGGCTGTTGAGTGTGTGCTAGGCACATGTCTGCTTTTGAGCACGAGAATACGTCACCCTTGTTTACAAAGACTCTGGGGACATTCTTCAAGTACTATTTTGTCTAACATGAAAATAGACGCCTATTACTTCTAAATCTCAAGGAGAAAAGAAAACATTAAATTGAAAAAACTGTAACATCAGCTAAGGGAGGTTTCTTTCATGTGGATTTTGGGAGACATGTGAGAGACAACTGGCCATTTTTTATAAGGAGGGATGATGCTGCTTATTTCATAATAATTTATCATCTCCAATCTCCCTGCTGTCTGCTCTGAAATGTGTTACAGCTATCTGTTACTGAATTTGAGTGACTTGGCAGCAATAGTCTATATAAATGATATTTTCAAGATTTTCTTCATGGTTCAGGCATTATTTCCCATGTATTCCCAATATATATATATGTTTACACACACATATATATATGTATTCATAAATTTGCCAATTTCCACAATTTCTCAGGTATACACAAACATAGTACACCCTCTTGGTAATTAGCTCATTCAAAATACGAGCGTGAAAAACTGCATAACTGTGTGAAATGACAAATATGTTAGTTTACCTCACTATAGTAACCTGATTCTATACCTCAAATATACACAGTAAAATTTACTAAAAATAAAATACAAAAATGAAAATATTTTATAATACTTCCTAAGGAATATTTTCCACAAAATTTTCTGGTTTATTTTGCCAACTGGTGAATCCGTGCATACATGTCAGGTATAATGATCTCCCAAACAGAGGGTAAAACACATCTAATCCTTCTCTCTCCCCCAACCATAAGACAACAAAGAAAATAACTCACACTACATAGTATACACAATGAACTAACCAAAGGGCCTGGTGGCTTCAACATAATGCTTAGAAAGCACACCTCAATTGTGGTTTTCCTTGTGTAAATATCAATCTGATCAGAATATAGTATATTATTGGATTTCTAATTTTCTGTGAAAAGACCAGGCTATGTTAAGCAGCCTTTAGCAAGCTGTCACAGATGAGACCAATAAGCACATCCTGCCTTAACACCCAGCAAGGGTTGCCTAGGATACGATGTCGAGGGACGAGGGTCAGGAGTCAAACTGACCAATATTGAGTAAATTGCATTGGTCTGAATGATTCCCCCTGAGCTAGTAATGATATTGCAAGAACATAGTTTGGTCTGCAGACAGATAAATACTACATTTGAAGATCAACAGAGAGCTGCATTTGGCAATTGTTATATATGCATGAATTTGGTTTGTGTGTGTGTAAAATATATAAAAATATGCATGCCGAGGCTAACATGACAATGAGTTGGATATACATTAACTATATATTACTACAAGGGTACATATATATCTACTTACTCATGTTTTTAGTTGAAAGTAAATCAGGGCTATACACCAATTTATACAAAAATATTATAGTAAAAATATATACAATATTTTTTATTTTGACATTTATATCCATGAGTTTTGACCTTAAAGCATATGCTGATTTTTCAGGATACAACAAAACTAGAGAAATATGATCTAAAGAGTTATTTTTTTAAGAGTCTCCACAAACTGTTTCAAACACATGACATGAAAGTTTATTATCAAATTTAATATGCAACCTAAAACTTTAAAAAACAAACATGAAAGAGTTCGGTGGTAGTCTTCTTAATAACATTCTTCTAACCACTAAAATTCATACTTTTTTCCTACGTAATCAATGTTTTAATCTATATTGCAGCCTTCCCATTAATAAGCTGGCTGAGTAAGAAGTCGATGCATTTCTAAGCCTTTTTCTGCTTTCTCCTCTTTGCCTTTGACACCGTTTGGTCTTTCCTCATAGTTTGTCATGGCTCAAGGATTAAACATTAAGCATTAGTGCAGTTGCATTAAGAAAAGACCTAAAATGGCGAGAGACTCAAAGCATGCCAGGCTGGATCTATAACTCAGAGGAAGACGAACATAAACAGAAGACCCAAAATTTTGAAGACTGGCCTAGGTTGACCTAGCTCTTGCCGGCAGTTTTTAGACCTGTCCTCCTCTCCAGAATTGTCCCTCTCTCCAGAACTGTCCTCTTCTCCAGAACTGCCCCCCTTTCCAGAACTCTTTCCTTCTCCAGAACCGTTCCCCTCTACAGAACTACCCCTCGTTCCAGAACTGTTCCCCTTTCCAGAACTGTCCTCCTCTCCACAGCTGTCCTCCTCTCCAGAATTGTCCCCCTCTCCAGAACTGTTCCTCTGTTCAGAACTGTCCTCCTCTCCACAGCTGTCCTCCTCTCCAGAGCTGTCCCCCTCTCCAGAACTGTTCCTCTGTTCAGAACTGTCCTCCTCTCCAGAACTATTTCCCTCTGCAGAACTGTCCTCATCTCCAGAACTGTCCTCCTCTCCAGAACTGTTCCCTTCTCCAGAAATGTTCTGCTTTCCAGAACTGTTTCAGAACTGTTCCTCACACCAGAGTGGAACAGTCACAAGTAACAGAGTTAACACTATCTAAGATTCTATCATCTTTAATTTAAAGTTTTATAAACAAGTCAAAGAGAAAAGACTGAAGAGGATATATGAAAGATAATTTCTGTTGGAGATAGGTTTCAAACATTTTGAAAATATTATAACCTTGCAAATTTATAACCTCAATGAAAATAGACTTTATCATCCTTATTTACTAATGTATCTTTCCCAGAAATGACTTAATCACATTTTCTGTACCATGATGAGATTTATGCCCTTGGCTTGAAGGATGTTCTCTCATGTCTATAGTATGGCACATGCACGTTGACATGTGTTTGTGCATAAAACAACAACACAGAATGTTCTGAAAGTATTTGGATAAGTATGTGAGTTACTCATACTATATAATTTACATCTTTAAAAATACCCTTGTTACCATTTTCTAGTTTAAAAACAAAAGTCAAAACTGGTTTCCTAAAAAACAAAGGGGCATGTGTTTTTATGATTTAATGGATGTCATTTGATATTTACTGTATCTAAATCTATAGATAAAGGACAGAAAAAAAATGGCCAGTGCAGCTCTAGATGAATGGTTAAGAAAGGAATTATCCTAAGTCTAAAGTAGTGCATTTATAAAAATGCTGAGTTCCATCTGTGTTCAACTGGGATACTGACCAGAGGGAGGCTGGAGGCAAGATAATTAAGTTTCCTTTACTAATTTAGTTCTTTGTAGCATTTGCAGCTATCTTTTCTAAGTGCCTGCTGCCCAGTCCTGTCACCTTTGATGCTGAATTGGCTGCCAAGGTGAAAGATGCTACCCTGAAAATCCTCATTGAAGGGTCCCTTACATTACGGCCTGAAAGGGGGCTGCCCAGATATTTTAAATTTGCTTGTTTTATTTCACACATGTCCTGCAATCTACACTAATTACACTGAGATTTCAGTATTGGTTTCAATAGAGAAGTGATTGATAAGGAAGATGCTAGGGAAATCTATAGCAAATAATAGAAAGGAAAATTAATAAATCACAGCTCTATTCACATAAAGAAAGAAAATTTTTTGTAAGGCGAACTATTTAAAACACAATTAGCTCATTCATGTCTTGGCAGCAGGAAATACTGTTTTTAGACCTGCAGTGAGCTCGCTCTTCACTTGAGATTTAAACTGACAAGTAAGAAGATGTGTAGTCTTGAACTTGTTCCTCTGCTAACGAGGTCTCACTCACCTTGCTCCTGAAGACACATCCTCTCATCTGTGTGTTCCTGCATGCAAAGGAGAGGCTATTTTCAGGCCATTTCCATGCTCTGCTCCAGACATTATGTATTGAAAATACCAGTACACGGGAGAGAGACCGGTGACTCAAACGTGTCTCTTTAGGACCCTCTTAAAATCAACGCATCCAGTATTATTAAAGACATCTTTTGGGGAAAATATTTTGTTGGAAATATCCTAAGCTCTGAAAATGCTTCATTAAAGGATCTTTGTGCTGTTTGTCCCCCAGGTCCTTAGGGGTTGCCACTCTGTTTTACCCTGGAGTTCCCCTCGCTGGTCACTCTACACCTCAGCGGAGGGCGCAGGGTCATCCTGGTCTCCGGCTCTGACCAGTACCTATTGCCAAACTGATGTGGTTTGGGCGTCCCCCCAAACCTCATCTCCAATTCCCATGTGTCGGGGGAGGGACCCGGTGGGAGGAGTCATGGCGGCGGGTCTCTCCCGTGCTGTTCTCCTGAGGGTGGCTCACGGGGCGCGTCTCTCCCGTGCTGTTCCCGTGACAGTAGATCACGGGGCGAGTCTCTACCGTGCTGTTCTCGTGACAGTGGCTCGTGGGGCGGGTCTCTCGCGTTCTGTTCTCGTGACAGTGGATGACGGGGCGGGTCTCTCCCGTGCTGTTCTCGTGACAGTGGCTCGCGGGACGGGTCTCTCGCGTGCTGTTCTCGTGACAGTGGCTCGCGGGGCGGGTCTCTCCCGTGCTGTTCTCGTGAGAGTGGCTCGCGGGGCGGGTCTCTCGCGTGCTGTTCTCGTGAGAGTGGATAGGTCTCACGAGAGCTGATAGTTATAAAAACGAGAGTTTGGCTGTCTAAGTTCTCCCGCTTTGCCTGCCGCCGTTCACGTGAGACGTGACTTGCCCCTCCTTGCCATCCGCCATGATTGGGAGACCTCCCCAGCCACGTGAAACTGTGAGTACAATTAAGCCTCTTTCTTTTGTAAATTGTCCAGTCTCCAGTATGTCTTTTATCAGCAACATGAAAACGGACTAATACACTAACAAGCCATAAACCAGCACTTCCAGCCCAAATCTTCTCCTGAGAAGGAGAGAGAACACAAATGGCTCCACACTTTTTGGCGGTGTAGTGACATTCCATTGTCCTGGTGTTTCTTGTCACCCCTAGACACCGGCAGTACATTTCCAAACTCTCCTTTCTTCTCATGTCTGAAGATGAGCATTCTCTAAGGGTCTGCTATTATTCCTCTCTTTACCTCACACCTCATTTTAGATGATCAGCCATTGTCTGGGCTTCCCTGACGTCTCCGCAAGGAAAAAAATAGAGACGGCAAGACTAGGTGTATTGACTTGATATTTTAAGGCATTTGTGATGGTATCAATACATCTCTTCCTGATGGCTACACTACTCCATCTGGATATCCTTCCAAAAGCTGAAGTTCAACATGTCCAATAACAAATTCCAATTTACACTAAGCAAAGCATCACACATACACCACAGTTTGCTATGTAGAATAGTTATCACATTTATAATGATGAAAATTATAAATAAAATCTCCAATGACAAAAACGCTGACTATATTTTTAAAGCAAACATTATAATGCTAGAAGCAGGCACACACACACACACACAAACAAATGATCTTCAAAGAAAAATTTGCGCAACAAAGATTTATTTGGCCCTTTCTGGGTGTCAGACATTGTGTTCTGCAGATTTGACACAGGAGAGCATATCTGCAACTCACACATAATATTTAGTACTGAATGAATCTATTAAAAATGCCGAAAACCAGTGGCTATCTCTTAGAAACCATAATTATGGTCACTTACGGCGATTTTAAATTTCTTGCTTTCACTTTGTTATTTACTGCAAATTATTTAAAATGTGTGTTTATTGTATAATCAGAAGTTATTTCAAACAAAAAAATATAAAAACTCATGGCTCTCTCCCTCACGTGTTCCTAATCCAGCTCCCTTTCCCTCTTTATTGCCGGTTCGGGGCCTCGCAACAAGAATATTGGTGGCTTCTGTCTCCTCTTTCCTCATTGGATCCATTTCTAACTCATCAGTGATTTCTGCCCTCTTTTTCTGAAATTTCCACCTGTTTTAATCATGCAGCAGGCACTTCTCTGGTGTCTTTAGCTGGAGCGAGCTTCCTCTAACCACCTCTGTCAAAAGCACACCCAATCTCTCCTCCCATCTACACCTCCACTTTCTTCATCCCCATTCCCGTCATCACTCATGTGAATGCCAGGCCCACTGTGTCTACACCTCCATCTCGAGTCATCACTCCTCAAATGGCTGATGCATGGGCACTCCTTTCATTGACTTGTAAGCTCTTAAGTCTTGGGGTCCTGTCATCACTTCCTTTCATGCAAGACTGAGCACACATCTAAAATGAATTATCAGGCTGGGCTTGATGGCTCATGACTGTAATCCCAGCATTTTGGGAGGCTGAGGCAGGTGGATCATTTGAGGTCAGGAGTTTGAGACCAGCCTGACCAACATGGTGAAACTGCTAAAAATACAAAAACAAAATTATCTGGGCTTGGGGGCGTGCACCTGTAATCCCAGCTACATGGGAGAATGAGACAGGAGAATTGCTTGAACCCGGGAGGTGGAGGTTCCAGTGAGCCGAGATCATGCCACTGCACTCCAGCCTGGGCGACAGAGTGAGACTCCGTCTCAATAAAATAAAAAGAGTAACTCACATCTTCTTTCCCTCATTCAGATTCACTCTCAGCTCTTTCCCCACTCTGCTCTGTGTCCTGAGGGGTTTACGCCGTGGGCTCCATCCCTGGACTAGCTGGTCATCAGCAGGATTCGTCCAGGGGACCCCATGAATGAGGAAGGCAAAATTAGGGCCTTTGCTCCTCAACCCTCTCTGTGAGAAGCAAGGCAGCCGGGCCCCTCCCCAGCACACCCCACCCTGGAGGCCCACCCTGTCCCCATCTCCTCTCACTGCAGGTCCGGGCGAGGCCTTCCTTTGCTCCAGTTCAGTCTGAGAGGAAGAGCCTGCGCCTACTCCTAGTAAGTTGTTGTGGCCCCCCGTGGCCCACCCGCTCCTACGTGAGCAACCCCTTATCAAAATCCTCCAATTGTTCTAGGTAAATATGTCACACATTTCTGGCAGTTCTAACATATTCCATTCGGTGGTCTGTTCTGCTGGGTGGAGGAGAGCGAGAGAAGAGATGGGCACTGGGAAACCAGAGTGTGTGCTAGCCTGATTGAGATGGGTAAATTTAGAAAGTGTCATCATCATTTTACTTCAAAGACTCTGGATTTCCAGGGTGTCATATATATCAATATTTAAATATAAAGGCAAGAATTCCAGTCCTCCATGGATCAATAGTAATTATTTTAGAATAGTCGGATACATTGATTTATCCGCATCTCTGACCCCGTCCACTAACACGAGTAAGCAGGAGTTGCATGTGTGCTCACATACATGAGGGGCGCGGGGTGTCTTGGCCAGGTGGTACCCCGCGATGGCGCTTGCCGGATAACCTGCACTCAGCCTCTTTTCTTGGAGTTTGGGTATTTGATCTTCACGTTGTTACTCATGTGCGTGTTGGTAAACACTTAGGAAAAATGGAAGCGTGGCAGTGTCTTTAATTGTATAGAGTTTATACTAAAGGGCATCAAAATCACCCTCTCTTTTACCTTTTAACATGCACAGAATTTATTACCATTTAAAACAATTTTTCGAAAGTCTCTAATTCCCAGTGGAACTTCTGGAGAGGAGGCGACTGGGCAGCTGTGTGTTGTGCTGGTAGAACTGAGATCAGGTCACCTGATGAAGGAGATGCAGTTTACTTAATAAAAGTCTAATCACTGAGCAGTCAATCTTTACTCTGTGCTGATAAAAAAAATTGTGTCCAATAAAAAACAAACCCAGACTTAGCAAAGAGAGACGATATTCAGTAGGGATATTGCAAGGGAGAAAAAGTTACTATGGCCACGGAGGGAGGAGGTCATTGCCATGGGGAGAAGCCCCCAGCCGTAAGGTCTGCATGTCTCCCAAGGATTAGGAAAAGGGTTTTTCTTTTCTAAGGAGAAGTAAACAGAGCTACAGAAACTGGGTGTGTAGGTCCAGGAATGCTTTCCCTTGAGGTTGGTCTGTTCTCAGGAGGGCCTGGTGACAGGGCTGTCTACGGGGCTCGGACTGTGTGTGGGGACCTGGAGAAGGCAGAAAGCTTGGCCCGTGTTTGACTCACAAGCATGATGTCTGACGCATCAGCGGGAATGAGTAATACAGCTAATCATGCACGAGGCACGGAGTTTGAGGGACTCGTCTGGACTTCTAGGAAAACAAAGGGACACGCTTTGATCTCACCTAAGTCCCATGGGGAGGGCGGTGCCTTGGGTGAGGGCGGTGAGCCGTTTGAAGGAACACCATGGTAAGATTTCTTACTCTTCACCATTTTCCAGGATCACAGGGCTCAGGTGAAGTCCAAGACTGTCAGAGGCGTGGATAAAGTTAAAATATTTAACGTTCTCAGGTAAAAATAAAAATTTTGTTGTTCTTTTCCCCAAATATGATAGTAGATATTTTCAGAATAGAGAAGGTAGAAGCGTAATAAAGTCTCCTTAGCTGCAGGTCTCAAAAAAAAAAAAAAAAAAAAAAAACCAGAATATATTCTTAATTTTTTAACATTGTTTAGGATGTAATTCATGTAATTCACTTAGGAATCACTTTTGTAGCGCCTGATTAATTTTGAGACTTAAGCTTTGGACTCAGAACTGAGTTGGACTCTTGCTTCACTTCACTTCACTGAGCTGCGTGGGCCTGGAGGGATGGTATGTTCTGTAACCTCATCTGCAAAATGGGAATAGTTATAGCACCTGTCTCAGAGTGACTGAAAGACCAGGTGAGCTCGTATGTACAAAATGATGTCACCGTGTCTGCTTCATATTTAGAAATATTTAATAACTGAGGATTATTCCTATTAATATTAATAGATGAATAAAATAAGGTTTTCTTTTGCATCTTCATTGCAAAGATAAGAGAGACTACAATATTTAAAAATAAAATGCTGGCTGGGTGTGGTGGCTCATGTCTGTAATCCCAGCACTTTGGGGGCTAAGGTGAGAGGATTGCTTGAGCTCAGGAGTTTGAGACCAGCCTGGGGAACATGGTTGTCTCCACAAAAAATACAAAAATTAGCTGGTGTGGTGGCATATGCCTGTAGTGTCAGCTACTTGGGAGGCTGAGGCAGGAGGATTAATTGAGTCCAGAAGGTAGAGGTTGCAGTGAACTGAGATTACACCACTGCACACTAGCCTGGGTGACAGAATGAGACCTCGTCTCAAAAAAAGAAAAAAATAAGTAAAATAAAACAGTATATGATTATCATTAATACAAATGAAGTCATTTGAAGGATATCAACTTTTTCTTTCTTTCTAACTTATGGTACTGTTTTAAAATTTAATTGCCATAATTGTTAAAATTAGATGAATGCTTCAGGATAGATATTTTCCTGTTATGTGTTCTACCAGGACAGTATTATCAAGAATATATTGAAATTAATGCAAACCAAAATGAACCAAACATAACAAGCATACAATATAATTTTTTAAATATATTTAACATTTCAAACTGTAGAGAGGAAATATCACATTGAGGTTGAAAATCAATTAATTATAACATTAGAAATGAAATCGTAGAAATATTAGGAAACTCACAACTTGAAAAGCGTCTTCTTCATGAAATGTACCCTGGCTCTTAAGTACAGTACAGTGCTGAGAATGTCACTGTACTCTTATTACAGGAGGTAATGAGGCCTTAAATTGGGGAAAATTTAAAGACTAGAGTATTTTATTGGTATAACTTTCCAAAATGATTACTTAGGAAGCGATTAAATGGATAATTCATCAGGAGAGTAGAATATGGAAACTGGGATTAAAAGTAACCCTTGTCCGGCAGGGTGCGGTGGCTCACGCCTGTAATCCCAACACTTTGGGAGGCCGAGGCAGGCAGATCACAAGGTCAGGAGATCGAAACCATCCTGGCTAACATGGTGAAACCCCGTCTCTACTAAAAATACTAATGGATTAGCTGGGCGCAGTGGCGGGGGCCTGTAGTCCCAGCTACCTGGGAGGCTGAGGCAGGAGAATGGGGTGAACCTGGGAGGTGGAGCTTGCAGTGAGCCTAGGTCGCACCACTGCACTCCAGCCTGGGCGACAGCGAGACTCCGTCTCAAAAAAAAACAAAAAGTAACCCTTGTCCTTGAACATTATTTCTACCATTTTTACGCATTCCAGTGTGGGTTCCTGTTTCCCAGCCTCCCCATCCCTCACTCCCAAGACTTTTTCCCCGCCTTCTGCAGACTGTTTCACAGCTTCGCATCTTCGCACACGCTGTTCCTCTTAACTAGACACGTGCGCCGAGCGCACCCTAACCCATCCTTGTTCCCCCTGGTTCAGCCACTGTCTTCTCTGAGAAGCCCTATGTGGGATCGCAGCGGGGTGTCAATGCCATCGACTCCGAGGCCCTGGACCCTCCGTATCCGGCACTTCCACTGCTATATTCCCAGTAACAGGTTGAAATGGAGCCACTGGCTCTTACGTTCTGTGTTGGGAGTTCCTTACAGAGAGAGGCTTAATCTTAGGATCTTTGTGCCTCTAGGATTTGGCATCAAGCTCGGCGTAGAGTAGGGGCTGGATAAATATCTGTTGTATTATTTCAACGTTTTTATGCTAAATGTCAAAATCTAGACTAAGTCAAACATCGAAGCTAGAGGATGCAATATCTTTATGTGAAGGAAAAGCCATCTCTCTTAGAAATACCTTCAGAGGAAGACATTGTAGGCGCAGAACAAACGTTTCTGGGCACCACATGGAACTGAAGGAAATCGAGTTTTGGGAAGTGGAGTTTTTGTAGCAGGAGCCTTACATAGCACAGGTTGGGGCAGAGGATAGAAATGGTTTCTTATTATTGGAATCCATATGCTATTCCCAAGACAACAGGGGTTCCATTCAGATCTTTTACATATAATTTAGTTGTAATTTATTGGTGAGGGTTGGGGGAGTAATTTTTTTTATTATTTTTTTTTATGACGAGGTTAGAGAAGAATTGAAGAGGAAAAATGGAAGGTAGTAAAAGTGTTCTCCATAAGGTAAGAGAGAAATGCAGTGAAGAGGAGGGAGGAAGCAACTTGAGAGACTGAGAGATACAGAGTGGGTGTGTGTGTTGGGGGGTGTCTGTGAGATCATGAGTATTAAGTCTTGTATTTGCATGTAGACTAAGTGTTGGGTGGATGAGCAGAATGAGCACGCTCACTCACAGTCACTGTGAAGGCAGCACATTTTTTTTTTTTTTTTTAATTTTAAGTTCTGGGATACATGTGCTGAATGTACAGGTTTGTTACACAGGTATACGTGTGCCATGGCGGTTTGCTGCACCCATCAACCCATCCTCTAGGTTTTAAGCCCTACATGCATGAATGCATTAGGTATTTGTCCTAATGCTCCCCCTCCCTTTGCCTCCCACCCCCCAACAGGCCCCGGTTTGTGCAACACATGTTTTAAAAAATGGTACAGGTAAACTATTTTCAATACAATGAAAGTGTTTTCACCATGAATTGATGTTCGAGGGGAAAGGTTAGGGCGTCACGATTATTTTTGGAAAATAAGAAAGACTAAAAATGTAAAAACAACGAACCCGGCAATCAAGAGATAGTATCACACAGGATGTCTTCTAATTTGGGGCTCTCAGGGACTCAGGCCTGTGAGCTCTAAATTGAAGCTGGAGAATCCCAGGTCAAGGGGCAAGGGTTATAAATCCACAGACTGAGAAATTTGCCCTCCAAGAACACGCCCTTGCTCACTGAGTCTGAGTCATGCAGTACAAAGCCTGGCCTTGGATATAAGATTCTCTAATTCACCTGTGATGGAGGCGACCTGGGTCCTCCCCCAGGTAAACGATGCTTGAACAGGGGCACTCGGTGACAGATGCGGCCCCGGCACAGCAGCACTGGCCTTGAGATTCCACATCAGCATCAGTGTGGACCTGGGAGAGCTATTGCCTTTTGCAGACCCAGCCTGGATTCTATTTTTAGTTTTCTAATCCTTTAATACTCTTTCCTAGGGATCTGCATCTAATATCCTTAAAATATCAAAATTTCCTTCCTCTGAAATGAATGGATGTAAAATATACTGTTAGCATTATAGTAACTGAAATCAACAAGTTACAATTCATGACTGTTGCTTCATTTTTTTCTAATTTTAGAGGGCTTAATGAATCTGTTCATGTTGTTCCAATATTCCTTAATGATTTACTTTATAATGATTTATTTTTAAAGTGTAGAACCTTCTTCCAACAAGGACCACTGAGTAGAATTTCCTCAGAGACGATTTGTGAGTCTCCATGCATCAGTCTATGGCTAAGGTTGAAATTTAGAAGTTGGCAGCATCTAACCAAGGACGTATTGAAAATTACAATAAAATGCCCGAATTGTCTCTTTATGTGGTTATGTAAACTGTTGTTAATTTTTGTGAGGGGAAATAGAAGGGCCCACTACAGCAGAATGGCAGAGAGATGCCTCTGCAGCAACAGAACGAATACTTGCTTTAAAAAAAATGTCAAAATGTGGATGTGCCTCCAATCATTTAAAAAATAGAAGGTGATAAGTTGAAAATGTCAGGTAATTGGCAGACAGATAGAAAGTTAAACTGTGTCCTCAGTGAAGAAAATTAACCAGCAGCTGCCAGCAGGGACCCCAAGGTCATGTGAATGCCAGAATCAAGCAAAGCCCAATCATTCAGAGGGGGTTCTCGGCTGAGATTTCCCCTCCCTGGTCATTTTCAGATCTCTTAGGAACTGCCCTGAACTACTGCCAACATGTGTTCATTTCTAAAAATTACATAGATTGTGATTTATTACCCATCACACTACAAAAATCCACTGTGAATTAAATCAGCCCTTTGTTTAAATTGCTCCCCGGCAATGCGCATCATATCATCATAAATGACATTGAAGTTATAATCTGCAGCCCTCGGCCTCAGCCGCTGATAAGGCCCCACCATGGGACGATCAATACTTACTATTCATTTTTGAAATTATCTCCACATTGATCCCTGAACAAGCGCCAGCAACACAGAGGCACAGTGCCTTTAATACAATAATTATATAAAGGTTTACAGGCTCATCCTCCCAGCCAATAAAAGCTGTCAACTGGCAGGGACAGTTACAATCCTATAATCCATCAAAACGCTGTTCTCTGACCTATGGGCTTCTGGGCTTTCAGGAGACCACGATAAACATGCTCGTGCCGGAGAGGAGAGCCGCACAGACCTGCTAAACAAAGGCTGCAGATGGATGCCACCGATTAACCAGAAATCCTCCAAGTAGCCTGGTGTACTATTTTCTGTTAATGAAGGAAACAATGAAGGATTGTCTATTTGCTAATTGTCATTTACTCAGAAGGAGTGCAGCTAGCCACTTTGCTGTTTTATTTTTTGGTCTTTAATTGATCAGGTTTGACTTTGAACCGGATGATAT